GAAAGGTAATATGTAGATCAGGAGAAATTTTTAGACACTTGATCACCGTTAACTACCGACTGAATTATAATTGGAAAGCAGAGTCAAGCTATTTTTTTTCGGAATTAGTGAAAATTAAGTACTCATTATCATATTCGTGGGAAAAAATAAGCGCAATCATGTCTAGTGCCAGCAACAAAAGTGCTGGATTACCTAAATTTTGTGATGCTGTAGTTCTGACCTGTTATTCACTTTGTAAGTGACCTCAGTTTTTTTGTATTTATTCAATTTAGCTATTCAATCTAGTCGAATTAATCATTCAATAATGGAATTTAAGAGTGGTCAGATGAGTGTACTGAGTATCCGATAAAATTTCCATTAAGGCTGACAATCAATAGAAATCATTTCAAGCTTCAAACAAATTATGGTGGTTACGTCGTTATTCCATCATCAAGTTTTAGAAATTAAAGTCAAGATAAATTATCTGGCATACCATGTGTTGAACAAAAGTATGCAGACTACATAGTATTGTTAGGCAAGGCCTGTGACAGAGTTCAGAGTCTTGTTAACAAATTGAACAGAAATCTGAGTATGTTCAGCATGTTTCACACCTGTTAAGTTTAAGATAGGGCCTTAGGACTGGTCTGCATTAGCTTCCGGTTTAGGGATAGGGAGTAAAGTGATTGGTACACATCTGTCCCGAGTAAAGTTGATTTTTTTGTATTTCTAGGTTTATCAAACTTCTTTAACCAAACTGAACATGAGTATGAATTACTTTCAGTGAATTAGTTAGTATTAGGCTTGAACGTATGCTACGCATACTGAGCTACTACCTAAATTGATGTGTAGTGCTAAGGGAATTCAGCTTAGGTTGGAAGAGAGTTTCAGTTATCCAGACTGAGATGTGACACCAATCCCCAACTGGGGGTCCTTCAGACAATATGAATAAAGTGGGTGAGGACTGTTGGTGACATAGCTGAAAATCGGTGGTAACAGTGCAAATGTATTCAATCTTTGACGTTTTATAATGTTTGAATCTTTTGACTAAGCATCGTTTTTAAATCCCTTTTCTTCTCATAAACCTGTATAAACTATGACATTACTCTTTTCAATCCACTTATTCCTTGTATACTACTGCAGAGTGTGGTAACTTGAGCCGATGCATCTGTGTCTGAGGTTCTACGTTAATTTTATCTATCTGTTATAGCATTCAAAAGACTATTTTTACTCCTATCTTTACCTTGATTGATCAAGTCATCTCTAGGTAGATCAGAGTTTTATCAATCAGAAGTATTAATCTTTGATGCTTATAACAAATGTTAATGAGTAGTAGGACAGTATACATCTTCCAGTGTGGAGATCTACCGCACTCAGCACAAAGAACAAGATCCGGATTTTCAACACCAACATCAAGTCAGTGATGCTTTATGGTTCAGACACTTGGCGTGTCAGGGAAAGCATTTCCAACAAACTACAGATATTCATCAACAGCTGCCTACGCTGACTGGATACTGAATACCAGTTCGCCAGAATAATAAGAATAAGCAACAAGGAACTCTGGCTGTCAACAAAGCCACCAAGAACCTATCACCCAACAAATATGCAGAGGAAGATAGTGGAGATGGATTGGGCATACACTGAGAAAGCTGATTAAGGACATCACACGCCAGGCCAGCCTTCGAGTGGAATCCAAAGGGGAAACGATGAGTTGGGTATCTAAGACAAGAGTGACATGGAGGAAATGATGTGAGGAAGAAATGAAAGCTTGTAGGCAGTCATGGAGCTAGGTTGAAAAGACTGCAGGGAACAGAGTGCAGTGGAGACGTGCTACTGAAGCCCTATGTCTCACTAGGAACCCAAGGGAAAATAATAATAATAATAATAATAATAATACATCTTCGGGAAGCTAGCTAGATGATTTAGCCTATGTTTATTGTTTCATGTGAACACATTTAAGGCTCATATCTCAATTAACATCGTAACTATTCTAGCTACTAATGGTAATCCAATAAATCTGATTATAACTAATCATATCCGCTGATTTCGTGCATTGATGATATAAGATTAGTAATAAGACATAAAATGGAACATTTAATCAACTGAGTATACGCTTAAAATTATTTATTCTTAAAAATTGAGGAGAAAAAACTAACTGGTTTCTGGAATTTCATAACATTCACTGGGAGATAGATACATCCAACTAGTAATTCTAAAATGAAATGAAATGATCAGTTTCTATTCCACTGCTAGTCATTATTCATCCTTAATGATGGATCACAGCTAGCAATGGAGTCCAGGATGCGCATTTCGTCCTATTTTGGACTCGTCAGCTGGATTTACCTGCTTCCCAGTGAGTGATGTTGTTCCCACCGGGATTCGGACTCGGGAGCGATCACTTCAAGTGCCAGCGCATTATCCACTACACCACCGAGTCACGATAGCCACTTCTTGTGCGACGGGCATAGTTTCTGGTATGATATCGAGGCATCCGCACAAGAGCCCATATGCTAATGGAGACCGATCAATTCTGTCCAAGCAACAACGGTATAATATAAAAACAATTATGCTAAAACTATACCCGGCGAACAAGAGGTGGCTATCGTGGCTCGGTGGTCTACTGGATAACGCCTTGGCATTTGAAGCGATCGCTCCCGAGTCCGAATCCCGGTGGGGAAAAATCACTCCGCACTGGGAGGCAGGTACATCCAGCTGACGAGTCCCAAATAAGAAGAAATACGCATCCTGCATTCCACTGCTAGCCGCGATCCATCATTAATATAAGTACAACGCAGGCAATATCGGGGCATCCGCACTGGAGCCCATATGCCAATAGAGACCGATCAATTCGTTCCAAGCAACAGCAGTATCATATAAAAACAATTATATTATTCATCCTTTATAATTTGTTTCATTAAACGTTAAGAGTTGACAGTAAGAATATGTGTTTATTTATTGATACTTATACTTCCCTGTTGGATCGTACTGGTCAACATGTCATTAGTAGATAGGATCCTTTTGCAAATGCCTTAATACTTCCTGAATACTCATTATATTGTAATTTACTTGATAACTAGCAATAGAATCCATAACTCACGTTTCGTCCCTCTTAGGACTTGTCAACTTGATGTATCTACACTTTGAGTGAGTGAGTGAGTGAGTGATGTGTCCACTGGGAGTCGAACCTAGTACTTGTCTATTTAAATGTCAAAGCACTATCCACTAAGTTGAATATTATGTAATCAGTTAATCCCTGACTATATATACATATATAATGAATAGATAAGTGATGATATTGATTTGGAATATATACTTACCTTTAACTGGTTATTATTTGCGCATAACTTATCCAATTTAGAATATTTATACTCTTATATATAACAATACTATCATATATGTCATTCATTAAAGTACAATAATAATCCTGTGTATAATTGTTCATTATTTAATAGTACAGTAAATAGGACTATTCTCAGGAAATCTCACTTTTCATGATTCTATCACTTCGGTGTTCTTGATTATTGTTAGGAGTATTTGCAGAAAGCAAGACATCAATGATGATGTAATCTCTCTCTCTATATATATAGGCCTTCACTACGATCATCTTCATTTTGCACCTTTTTTCCAATAGACTTGCATACACTGAGTAGTACATCATCGATATGAACACAAATGATATTCGTATATATTATGTATATATTTCTTTAATGTGAATCCTTTTTCTTCCCTTATCTGGCACATTTGATTAGTCATTTAAGTGTGTGTGTGTGTGTTGTTATGTCAGTTTTAATAAACGATAGACAGACAATCATTGTATGCCTTGGTCATACAAATGCACCTAACTAGTGTCAGATATCGGTATTATAGTTAGAAAAAATGTTAACAGAATGTATGTGTGAAGAAATAGGTGATATACACAGAAGGGAAGTCAGTGTGCATACTATATGTATATGAATGATAAATAATGACCATTCATAGGTAGTACTGCCACTATCCAGCTTCTCTCTCTCTCTCTCTCTCTCTTCCCTGATTCTTCATATCTTTGTGTATTCTATCCAATCGGTTATTTATGGTAATCGACTAGTTCGTCTAACTTTTACATACTGCTATTATATTATGATAATGATTCAGATTAGTATTGAATTTTAGCATTATAACTGATATGTCCTTTTTTTTTCTCTCTCACAGACTTTTTTGAGGGGGTAGGGTGGTCAGCATACTGAGAATTATGACTTCTGATTTGTGGTTAGTTGCACACACACACATCTTTGGTGCATGTTTGTGCTATCTTTTCGTAGATAGGCATATTTATAAAAGATTTTAAATGGGAAATGTTATATGTTTGTTTTCTCTGATCATCTACAAATTTGTTAATGTACATTTGTCTGTATGGTCTGTCTATTTTTGAACACCTTGATATAGTGATATTACATCCCTGTATTAGTGTCAGTATCCTTCAAGACTGTGGTTATATTATATATCTATCTATTCATTCTATTTGTACACACAAAATTAAGTATTCTCTATATGTGTCTCTATGTACATATGTGTAGTTGTTGCCTTCACTGTTCAATACTTGTTTAATGATGATGATGATGATGAGAATGATAGCAACAACATGAATCAGTAATGATAACCCCATTCATCCTGTTACACTTATTAGTACTCATCATATATATATTCAGAGTAAAATGCATCACTTTACGTATATTCATTGTGGAATAAATTCATTTGAATGTATATACTATACTATAAGAAAAGTAATAGGAATTAGTCTCAATGTATTGACTATCTCTGATAATTATTGTTCCATAGTTCATCTTAATGCTAGCTGATGATGATACTTTCTCAATTGTATTATGCTGTTTGTTTGTTTACTATCAGTTAGATTGTGTTCTATCTTTTTTTCCCCTACTTACCAACATCATATTTCACTGGATATATGTGTATGTTTGTGTTTCATGAACCACTTTGATGATTATTACTAATGATGTATACACTTGGAAGGTTATAATTTTATAAGAATGACATCATTGAATTGTTTCAAAATCCGTGATACTAATGATATTGTTATACATCCTATACGAATAAATAATTCACATGAGATTATATACCAACCAACTGTAAGTATTGATATCAATAATAATGAAGGTAATCAAATTGAAAATTCTACAATTAGTGTGACTACAACAATTACAACAACTGTCACTACTGTTAATTGTCAAGAGAGTCAGTTAAATTCTCAAGGAGTCGATCAAAAGGTTGATGTATCAACTAGTTACACATCTTATTCACATGGAAATAATCATCCAGTACGATGTAAACCACATTTTCGTTATGCTAGCCTTTCATCGTCTACTTTTGGAACGTGTATGCCAACCAATAAACGTGATAATAACAATATTAGTAGTAGTAATAGTAGTAATAGTAATACTAATAATAAAGAGAAAGCCTTCACATTATCGTCTACTGGTGTACAAATCAGTCGTAATTGTTTGGACATTATCCGAATAGAATACGTAAACACATAGAATCAAATGTTAGTAAACATGAATCACCATCATCTACTATTTGTTATCCAGTACAATCAAATACTGAAATCATTTATACTACTTCAATAAATGGTAGTAGTACTAGTAATAGTAGTGGTCTAGTTCGTAGTCAATCAGATTCTACATGTTTATCATTGAAAGCAATAACAGGAGATGAGAATTATTTTGATATTGAAAATCAACAGACTGGAAGACAACTGAATCTTGTTCATGAAAGAACTAACGACAATAGTAACTATGGTAACTCTCTGTCATCAAATGATTCAGCACAGAGTTCAAATATATCATCTTGGGAAATGAATAATAATAATTTATTGAATGGAAATCATTTAATTGATAAGTATAATTTAGAAATTAGTAAAAAATCTACATCATTATCACCTTCACTACTATTCTCCTTATCAACATCTTTGTCAACACAAACAAACAGAACTGAAGAGAAAGAAGGTGTAATAGGAAAAATAGACAATTTAGAAGATGATCGAAGGAATCGAGATGATGTATTAGATAGTATAATGCAAAATTCCACTATTGAATCAACATTGAATACTGGATTAATGCCTGAAGTATTTATGAATTATTACAATGCTTCAGTTAGATTATCAACATCTGCCTATCCACCGCAACAACAACAACGAGAAGGGATTAAATTAAAATGCTTGACTACACCTAATAATAGCTTATCGACACCAACAACACCGAGTAGAAGTTATCAACTTATATGTCGTAATGGAGTACAAAGTTATGCTTTAGTAACAGAAAAGTCGAATACACTTTCAATTTCACCTGAAAATATTGATTATATCGATCGAAATTCAGAAATGTCTACATGCCATCATGGTAATGCTACTACTATTACTACTACTACTATTACTACACAATCATCAAATTGTTGTCCGTCTAATATTGTTAATTTAGATAGATTGTGTAACGATAGACAATCTGTTTATCCAGATAATCTGGTTAACCAACGTAAGCTATGATAATATCATTTATTTTATTATTATTAGTCCCTTGGGTTCCTAGTGGAACATAGGGCTTCAGTAGCACGTCTCCAGTGACCTCTGTTCTCTGAGATCCTTTGAACCTGGTTCCACGACAGCCCACAAACTCTCATTTCCTCCTCACACGATCTCCTCCATGTCACCCTCACACGGACGTCCAACTCGTCGCTTCCCATGGGGATTCCACTCGAGGGCCTGACGCGTGATGTCCCCTGTCGGCCTTCTCAATGCATGGCCAATCCATCTCCACTCCCTCCTGCATATTTGTTGCGTGATAGGTTCTTGGTTGGTTCGTTCCCAGAGTTCCTTGTTGCTTATTCTTTCTGGCAATCCATCTGATCTTCAGTAGCGAGTCAGCGTAAGCAGTTGTTGATGAATGTCTGCAGTTTATTGGAAATGCCTTTCGTGACGCGCCAAGTCTCTGAACTATACAGAAGCACTGACTTGACGTTGGTGTTGAAAATCCGTATCTTGTTCCGCATGCTGAGTGCAGAAGATCTCCACACTGGTTTCAGGCTAATGAAGGCCTGTCTTGCTTTTCCGATTCTGATTTTGACATCCTCGTCTGTGCCTGTGCCGCCTGTAGTTGAAACAGTGCTTCCTAGATAAGTGAAGGAGGTTACTTCCTTTAAGTTTCTCCCGTTGATGGTGATTGGAGTTTGTTGTTGTTGTTGGTGGTGGCGAGGTATCTTCATCACTTCTGTCTTCTCTATATTCACCTGAAGTCCCGTCTTCCTCCTCTGCCTAGCCTCTTCTGTCAACTTGTTAGTTTGTGCCTGTAGATCTTCAAGTTTGTGTGACATCAGACAAAAGTCATTATTGGCGAAATCCATATCTTCTAGGTTCTTTCCCGTGGTCCAGCGTATCCCCCTCTTCTCACAGCTCCCCACTGTTTGTTGCATGATCCAGTCTAGTCGACCACAATCAGGAATATCATGGGGGATAGTAGACAGCAACCTTGCTTCACTCCTGGTTAACTAGTTCACTAGTTACTACCCGGTCCTAAGCCAGGGTAAAGAGGGAAGGTTGGGCATAGGGCTAGCAACCCTACCCCGTAAAACAAATCTAACCGCTAAAGAAACTTCAAAGCACAAACAAAATATAAAAAAATGATAATATCATAATATACTTTAATTTTCCTGGTTGTTGTGTGTGTATTCCGTGGTTGCATTGTGCTCTCTGAGCTCTCATCGGTTATCTAGACGAGATTATCAGCAGTACTAACTTCAGTATGAAGTGAGCTTTCAATGTCTCTGTATGAGTGATTCAGTAGCCTGCCTTGACGAACTGGTTTATGATTGGTTGTTTCCTTTGATTGTTGGCTGTTCCTCTGATTGACCTCTAACCTTCCTGTCGTTTATCATTTTTCTCATTGGTTGGTAGATTGGTTCTATGTCTATACATCTATTGGTTGCTGACTGACTGATTGACCTGAATGCCAAGCTTCTATGAATTCCCTGATATTCTTTGTGTTTCTTCTGGTCAAAATTTCTATGTGATATAGTTACTAGAACTATGTTAGTTCACTTTCGAAAGGGCTAATTGATAGTTTCTTAACCTTCTGTAGTACTGATAGAAAGGTTACACATCAACTTTATTGGTAAATATTAATAAACTGAGAATGTGGGTTCATCATTATGAAGTTATTGTTGATAATGTTGTCTAGAAAGACGATGAAAGCGCCATGATAAAACAACCCAGCTCAGAGAACACAATACAACCAAGACCATCCACCTGAGCTATAAGTATTCTCCACTGCTTCTAATCATTCACTACCAAGTAAAGTTAATTTTTTAGTGTTAAACCACACTTTGATAGGCGAATTGTACTTCTTAGTTGTTAGATCTTTTTAGCACCAGTGATAAGATAGTCTGACATCGGTTATTATGTAACAACTTTAATTGTTTATTACTTCGGTTTTAATGAGTTTCCATCTGAAAAGACTTCAACACATCTGATTGGTTTGATTGGCAGACAGAAAACATTATTGTTTGATCTATGGATATTTCCAATTTGATTCCACGAAATAATAACTTGGATCTTGGTTTATTTAGGTTAATCCCTGGACTATCACTTCTCGTCATCTACAATGCTATCCATCTATCGTGTTTACGCTCATTATCCAGTCAGGATTTCTTATTCCAATCCAAATTGAGCTGAATTGATAAGAGGAAAGCATGATATTGATTATCTGTTTGACCATTTGAGTTTAGCTTCCTGTTTATCGTTACAGTTGTGCATCACGAACTCATATGACAGTGAAATTAAGATCTAGCCAATAGTTGTGTATCACAGCTCAGTTGGTAGAACGCTGGAGGTGAGTAACTCGGAGGTCACCGCTTCAAATACGGCTACGACTCAGAGGAAGTTTCTGATAATGTTATCTATGAAAATTTTCTTCATAGAATATTGTTAACTACAAACCATTCTTTCCAACATATGGAAGGAGATTTAGATGAAAAATGTATATTTCATCTAAAAATATATATAGTAAAGGATTTTACCGGAATGTTTTAGCACACCTTACTTATCTACCATGAGTATAGGTAAACGAACTGGTCATTTCAGCTTGGTTCTTTTATATATATATAGGGATATATATGTGATAATGATCATTACACAGGTTCACCTACGGAAACATTCTTACGACTTTTTCTTCCTTGAAATAGTCAAATCAGATCATCTTCTCAGCATTAGTTGAAGGACAAACCACTTCAACAATACCAATTCATTGACTTCATTGAACCATTCAATCGTTAGTAGCTACATAGTAGAGGTCAACTTCATGCGCAGCAGTCCGGTCTGTTCTACTGTATGGCTGTGAAACATCGCCATTGAAAGTGGAAGATGTGAGAAGGCTGGCTTCAGGTGTTTGGCCACTGTTGCCTTCGTAGTATAGGCAGTTTTGCGTGTTGTCACCACGTGAGTAATACAGAAGTCAGGAGTAGAGTTTTAGGGAGTAGAGGTAAGTCGGTTGACGAGGTTATGAGGTGGTTGGGACACGTACTACATATGCCTAGTCACCGACTGCTCGTCACAAAATGTTGGCTGAAGTAGGCCTAGACTGGAAAAAGGCCGGAGGTGGCCAGACTAAAACATGGCTTTAATGCATAAAGTCTCTGACTGTTGGTTTGAGCTATGTGTGCCGATGCAGACTAGCCGGTTGGGGTCCGTAAGACAAGAGAAACCAGTGGTTGGAGACTGATTCTAGGTGATCGCATGGCTCGAAACCTATGTCAGTGGCGCAGATGTATCCCCACACACATTATCCTCATCTTAACGACGCTATACCGAATCTCACCATTATGTCATTCTTCTCGTACTTAATATTTCTTTTGACTACATTCTCTTATCTTCATCTTTCACCTCACCACCTTTCTACTTGATGTACTGATATGAGGTGTGGCATGTCGGACCGTTACGCAGTTATGTCTGGTCCTATGTTGATATTGATTGATTGACATAGTAGAGGTCAACTTAATGCACTTTCCTATAGGTTACTTCAAAGTCATTCAGTCCATAGATTTACTAGGTGTTATCGATTCCATACCACCTTTAACATATCAACATGTGCGGGGTAGTAACGTGTCACGAATTCATATGGTAGTCGGGCAAAACCCCATCTTGTGATTGAAGTGAAATAAAAATCTGATCAGCAGTTGGACATCATAGCTCAATTTGATAGATCACCGAGCAGGGAAACCCATCGATCGCTGGTTCGAATCCGGCTGCAGTTCAAATTTTCATTTCACCTTCAATCATCTCTTAGTATCAATACTAGTCTATCAAAACCACTTCTGCTATCTTAGACAGTTAAAAATGAAAATTGTAACAGACAGGATTTATTTTTGTGTATGTATATCGGCGAAAAAAAAGTCAACTTATTTTTCACTCAATCTCTACTCCCTTATCACACACACACAAACACTATAGATCAATGAAACTGCATTTTCATTTGATAAGTTTCTTTGTGTATACTGTTGCTGTAATCGTTTTGTTGCTTTACCTGGCTAACTGTTGAATTCTATGTAGTCTCGTTTATCTTTTATACTTGTGTGATGTGAAGTGACTCATCTTTTCATGCCTTTCATATCGTTGACCTTTCTCTTTGTGTGTGTGTGTGTATGTGTGTGTGTGTGTGTGTGTGGAAGAGGCAGAGAGAAACCAACCGTAGACTATAACGATATTCCTGCTTATCTAAATTCTATTACGCTTATCTGTATCAGTATGCGTGTACTTTTGGTTCTTTTTCTCGTCTTGGTTTCACTTGTCCACATTCGATTGTAAAATTCTCAATTGTTGATTTATCTGACGATAAAAACAGTATACTATTGAGTAAAATAAATTACATTCTGATGATTATTCAATTGATGAGTTAGTGAACCATTGGGGAACTGTTTTCTTCCTAGTCTGTAACTTTTCTACCTCAAGTGGAATATGTTGATCACTTCATTTACTTGAAGGAGTTGTATCAGCCCGGAACAGGTTGGTTGCTGATGAAGTCTGAGCTTGGATACAGAAGACTTGTTTGGAATTTACCAGCTTGCGTCATTTTTGGCGCCGACTGGCGGACTGCGCTGCAGTCCGTTCTATCCTGTTGTAGGACTGTGAGACCATGGCTGTTGAAAGTAGAAGACATGAATCGACCACAGGGTTTTGATGATAGATATCTTCGTAGCATTGCTGGTGTTCGGTGGAATCATCGGGTAGACAATGTTGAGGTCTGGCAAAGGGTACTAGGGAAGAGAGGCAAGTTGATTGATGAGGTTGTGAACCTTCATCGATTGAGGTGGCTTGGGCATATCACCACCTATCTCGACGTGCCATGCTGATGGAAGTTGGAAGAGCGTTCAGCGTAGCCAGACCAAGATGGGACACCAGTCCATAAAGTCCTTAGCTATTGGTCTGATCCGTGTGTATGTGTTGGCGGGGGGGGGGGGGGGTTGTAGACTACCTAGCTGGAGGGTC